AAAAACATTCTCATGGGGCTTACACTCCAGTGAGAACACAACTGTAAATGGGCTACAGAAGGAAAACCTGCTTGTTTTTCATTTACTCCCGTCTCCATCCCAGAAACCTGGTCTGCCCTTCTCAGCCCTGCCCTATGCCCAAAGGAGGTGAGAAAACAAGTCCCAAACAACCAGCTGGGAAATAGGGCAAGCATCCCCGAGAGTCCCAAGCAAGCGTCAGGATCCTGGGGGAGCTGGGACCTCCGGTTCAAGAAGCCAGAAGCTGGTCTGGCCTCACCACCAAGTGCCTCCCTCCTGGGGTACGGGGGTGGGTCTCTGTAGAATCTCGCCATCGTACTGGAGCGGCCAAAACTAATGCCAAACCCTAGTGAGCAGCTGGGAAACGGGGGGAGGCTGGACCACAACTGCACCGAGAGCTGTATCGCCCACGTGCACGCATCCCACAAAGCAGCCAGTCATGGGGCCTGGCTTATAAGAAATGCTGACAAATGTGTGCTGAGTACAAAATATTATCATCAAGTGGTAGTCAGGGACCTGTCCTTCAAGTATGTGAGGTCTTCTTATTATTGGTCCTGTTGGCCCACTTAGAATCACTCAGTCTGGAAATGGAGGTGAGCCCCTCACCTGGACCAGAGGTCTTCAGACCAACCCCATGGGGCCCTGGGGTTTTGTTAACATGCCTCCTTGACTCCACACCAGGAGAATCCATATTACTTGTGTGGTTTTTTGTGCAAGGTTTTTTTATGAAAATGAGAAGTTCCACTGCTGTGATACACAGGAAACCACCTCCCTGGCCCACCGGAGCACAGACGTGGCGTCCCTAACAACTCACCGATCATCTTGAGCCGTCCAATTCTATCCATGAGCAGGGCAGAAATGATGTTCCCAGGCAAGACGGACAGACTGCCGAGGAAGCTGACCAGGTAAATCAGGAAGTCGTTGTCTTGCTCAAAGTCCATGTGGCAGCCCTCCTTCTGCTCCAGAAAGGTGGAGTTGATAAACCGGCAGTTGATGAACTTGTGCTCGTACAGGTCTGGGGAGAGATGGAGCAGAGTCAGGGGTGAAGTGACACCCTTTCCACGCGTGGGCAGGCTTTGACCATCAATCTCAGAGTCAAGGTGACGTGTGGCCAGGTACAGATGAAGCGAGAAACCTCGACAAATGTAATGACCCGTTCTACTGCAATCAGCCAAGGGGAAATGAGAAAAACATTCACAGAGAGGCGTGCTTAATTATATACATCATCTCTCAAGCCAGATAACAGTCCTGTTTGAATCAATGAGATGACACCAAGGACCACAGTGGCTGGGCCATCCCTCCGAGGCTACCCGGCTTATAAGAAGCAGAAGACAAAAGAATGAGGTCCAGATTGAATCGACCACTCCAGAGCTCATACAGAAACCTGAATATTCTTCAAAATAAAACCCATTTGCTCAGTGGTTTCCAGGGCAGGGGTGGACACAGGGTCAGGGTAGGGAGATGAACAGGGGAGCACAGACAATGTTTTCGGACAGTGAAATTACTCTTTATGATACTATAACGATGGATATATGTCATTATACATTGTCCAGGCCACTATGTAACACCCAGGATACAACGTATAACACCAACAGTGAACCCTAATTTAAACTACGGACTTTGGGTGATAATGATGTGTCTATGTAGGTTCATCAGTTGTAACAAATGTACCGCTCTGGTGGGGATGCTGATAACGGGAAGGCTATGTGTAGGGGCAGGAGATAGATGAACATCTTGTATCTTTCTTCTAATTTTGGTGTAAACCTAAAACGTCTCTAAAATAATTAAGTCTTAAGAAAATAGAAACCATATGCATTGGAACCAGTTCCCATGTCTTCTGACACCTTCTAACACCAGCTGTTCTGGCAGAAAGATCGTTAAATAGGCTCTCAGAAAACATGGGTTTGGGGGATTGACTCTGGTGCTGGTGACTCTCTTTGACAACTCCCTGAACCTCCACCTACAAAATTAGAGGAGTACCCCTCATTATGTCCATTGCTTCCCAGCTTTGATGTTTCAGGACTACAAGTGTTTGCAAAAATCCCCACTTTAACAGTATGCAAACAAAGGGGCATCATTAAAACTTGAAAGAAGAAAAGCTATGCCAGGTTTTAACGACAAATAGCAAATGTATAAAACTCATTCCTTTTTTAAGTTCAGGCTAAAAGAAAAATTTAGAAAGGCAAGTCTCGTCCTGGGTTATTTAGAGACTGAGGGATATGTGGAGGCCAGACAGTGAACCATTGGAGGCTGACATCATGAAGGAGAAAGGTGTCTTTGCATAACTGTCCCTTGGTGCTGATGACAGGGACAAAGCACTGGTCTGGACATAATGCGAGTAGTTCAGTGGATAGATCACAGGCTTTAAAGACAAACAACTGAGGAACGAATCCAAGCTCCCTAAACTTGCTAGCTGTGCCCTTGGCTTAAGCCTCAGCTTCCTTAGCTGTAAAATGGGGCTAATGGAACATTTCACACTTGAGACAACGTAGGTGAAATCCTTCCCTCAATTAGTTTCCTTATGTCCCAACTCCATCTGGTATATTATTAACTTACAATGAGAGTAGTATAAGTAACAAGGAGTGAGGGACTGGTGGCATCTGTGCTTCTTTTTTTAATCATGGAAATCTGAAATGGCGTGATTATAAAATATTCTTATTATCTTACTTCATGTACAAAGCTAGAAAGATGCAATCTTCCCTCTTCATTTATTATCATAACACCATGAGTGTTTAATTTTGCAAGTTTCAAATGAGGTGAGGTCTCCAAGAATGTACTCCATACATAACATGCAGTCCTCCCAGAATGCTGGGTTGTTTTTTTTTATCTGTGTCATGCTTTGTTCCTAGCAAGGACCCTTAGTATACAGATTCAGTCTCATTGAAATAAGAACACTTGCCTAGAACTTTTGTTTCCATTTTACATGTGATGAAACTGAGATGCAGATAAATTAAATGCATTGGTAGAGACTGTGCTACTCAGGCTGGCCGAGTGGCGCATTGGTTAAGAGTTGGCTTGGGACGCTAGCTCTGAGCAGCAGGGCCCTGGTTCGGATCCCACATGTGGGCCAGTGACATTGCGCCCTCTACAGCTGAGATGGTGAACAACAGCTCGACCTGGAGCTGGGCTGCTGTGAGTCAACGGCGTCGGCTGCAGCCCCTGTTGCAGTGGGCTGCCATAAGCTACCATAAGCTGCCATAAGCTAGCAGCCAGTGTGAGCAGCCAGCAGCTGGAGTGAGCCGCCGGGAATGGCCGTACAATGGCCTGTGACCGATCTGCCTCACCTGGGAAGAACGCAATGATAATACCAACATGGGCCAGTGAAGCGACATTCTCCACAACTAGACTGAAGAACAAAAGGACAGCAACTTGTCTGTTCCCCTTCCCCAATTCCCCAAAGCTGTTCCCCTCACCCAATTCCCCAATAAAATCTTAAAAAATAAAGAAAAAAAGACTGTGCTACTCATTCATGTCATACCTGGGGCTAGGACCCATTTCTCCATCCTAAGGCTCAGCACTTGTATCAGCGAATATTTTACTGCTCCTAAAGCTTATGACTGAGCAGTTTGGTTTTTAGATAAGACTAGTCCACTCTTGTTAGAGTCTCCCCACTCTGCCCATGTTCTCACCTGTGTTATAAAAGATGGTGGATTCAATGGTGCAGTTTTTGAAATAGGTATCAGTAGATGTAACATCTTCGAAATAGCACTCATCAAAGAACGTGTCTTCAAAGAGAACATGTTTAAAGTACATCTTTGTGAACCTGTGGAAAAGACATTTGCCTCTGAGTGATTCATACAGGGAAAAAAAGGGGAGCGCGGGGTGAGACTAGAGTTCAACATGAAAAACACAGAAAGGCAGAAAAAGGAGAACTGCAAATCAAAAGGTGCTGAAAACTTATTTTCAACCTAGACTAGTTCCCATTTCTTAGCTGTTGGTTGATCAGTGAGGAACAGCTTCAGGGGCGTGGAAGCTGGTGTCTTGCCCAGGTACCTACGGGGGTCCAGGCATCAGCCTGCTGGTTCCCAAATGCCGGTCCATGGACCTTCTGCATCAAAATCTCAAAAATGTGGAATAGTGCGAAATGAAAATTTTGCTAGCTTATCACTTTATGAGGAGCTTTATAAAAACATACAGGCCCCTCAGGGGGTCTTAGAAGGTTGGGAAGCAATAAGTTTGTGAGGGCCTGATAATCTTCCTTTTTAAAATAGCTCCAACAAAAATGTGAATAAATAGGCACTTTCATTCGCATGGTTGTAGAATATAATTGGTTCAGCCTCTTTGGGGAGCAATTTTGGAAACTTTTTAGTGCACAATCCTTTTGACCTAGGAATACCACCTCTAAGAATGTATTGTACATGTCCTTACTCATGCATTCAAAGAGATACATTTACTGATGCTCACTGCAACATTTCTTACAATAAGAATTGATTATTAGATAGATAACAGGTAGGTAGGTAGGTAGGTACACATGTAGATAGCTACCATACAATAGAATACCACATAGCCATTATATTTATTAAGTAGATCTATAGATCTATATGTATTAATATGGAACAATCTTCAAGATATTAACTAAAAAAAATCAAATGCGATGTTGGGTTTATAGCATGTGGCCATTTGTATATGAAAGGATATGGTACATATTTCTCCAAATGCATAGAATATATCTGGAGAGTTACACAAGAAACATACACTGACATACATCAACATCAGCTTCCATTGGTTATATTTACCAAGCTTAGTCAAACTTTTCAGCTAGGAACCTTTGGATATATTTTCATTTGTGAAGAATTACAACCCATTCCTTCAACCATGAATAATCATTTGTCTATGCATGCATTTACATATTCACTTACTGAGCATGGTGTTAAGTGCCATTGTGTATGGAAGGAAAAGACATGGTCCCTGCCCTCAAGTATGATTGGGGTGGAGGGGGGAGGTGGGAGGGGAAACCAGCAGACAACTGCAGTACAGTGGGAATCACAGTGACAGAAGTAGCACAGGGTGCTGAGGTGAGGGTCGTTGTTCCTCTTGAAGACCACCAAATAAGTCAGTCCATGACTATACGAGATCTGACAATGAAGTTTGCGAACTCACCCTAGAAAAAGTGCTACGTGCCTCACTGCTGAATATCACTATGGTCACCTTCAAAGTACTCCCCTTGGGAAGCTATGCACCGATGCCAGTGCCTAGTCCACCCTTGAAAGCAATCTTGGAACTCTTTTTCTGGAATGACCATCAGAGCTGTTGTATTACCCTTGATATCCTGAATGTCATCAAAATGTCTTCCTTTCAATATTTCCTTTATCTTCGAGTAAAGAAAGAAGTCATTGGGGGTAAGTACGGGGGGTGTTCCAATACAGTTATTTGTTTCCTGGCTAAAAACTCCCTCACAGACAGTGCCATGTGAGCTGGTGCATTGTCGTGATGCAAGAGCCATGAATTGTTGGCGAAAAGTTGAGGTCATCTAACTTTTTCACGCAGCCAATTTTTAGCACTTCCAAATAGTAAACTTGGTTAACTGCTTGTCCAGTTGGTACAAATTCATAATGAATAATCCCTCTGATGTCAAAAAAAAAAAGGGTTAGCAAGTTCGTGAACTTAATTGTCACACCTTTTATCATGGCCAGTTCCCCTTATCCTTCAAGCTCTGCTGCAGTCCAGTCTGCTGAGAACCCTAACTGAGAGCCACCTATCATCAGATTTTGCAGAGAGACCTCCAACCCAATAAGAAGGCCTGGGCAAGTGCTTCTCAAAGAGATGCCCCCAGACCATGTGCATCAGGATAGAATGGGAGGCTCTCATTATGAAAGACGCAGTTTCCTACCCAGACCTCCTGAAAAATAATCCCCAGTCTAATACCAGTTTATTATACTTTTAAAAAAAATGTGAGGCTGTTGATCAACAAAGCCAAATGATTTTGAATAATTTTTCTTAGGGTAAAATTTACTACAGAGTTTTAAATGGGGACTTCAAAAAGCTATCACTTGAACTCTTCAGATTCCACGGAGAAACTAACAGATAAGCCTTTTGTTACAAGAAGATGCCTCTGGATTTTAAAATACATGTAATTTGTATGCTGGATGTATTTACTCAAAAAAGCTATTTCTAGAGACTGTCTCAGGTCGCTGCCTTTCTTAATATATCCTTCTGTTTAATATAGTAATAGGCTGCTGATGAGGCCTTCAGTGATGTTTTAATGTTCTACCAAGGGTGGGCAGGAAAGCAGGGCCATAAATCATAACGGGCCTGACGCAAGCAGACCTTAAAATGTATCTCCAAGTGAGTTATAAAGGAAGAGATAAAAGGAGAAAAGGCCAAGGCATATTTTATGAGTCTTTACATAAATCATCTCCTCCAATCTCTAAATTATATACTGAGCTGGTACAAGAATCTTCATTCACCACAAAAAATATTGTGTGGAAATTTTTGTGTAAGAAAACAGAAGCCATTGGCAATCCAGAGTCTATGGCAGAATATTATTACAAATACTATATTTCAGTTACCCTCAGGTCCAATGCTTAGTCCACAAATTGATCTCAACTGTGCCAAAAGTCACATCTATTCATTCACCCTCTTTTAGACTTGATGCCATTACCCTCAAGAAACTCAGTCTAATTAAAGAAATAAATGAGAAAACTGACAAATAAAATTTAGTGTGATAATCATCAAGCTAGAGGCATGCTATAAAATGACTTCAAAATGGGCACTTGTGATCTGAAGGACGAGAAGAGAATTTCCTTAACTTTATAAAGGATATCAACCAAAAACATATAGCAAGTACCATACTTAAAGGTAAGACACCAAAAGCACCCCCACTGAAGTCAGAATACCCATTAGCACTGCTTCTATCCATCACTGCACTAGAGGTCACAGCCAGACAATACAACAAGGAGAGAGGAGAATAAAATTATAAGGATAAGAAAGGAAGCAATCAGACTGTCATCGATTTTGGTCAATATGTTTGCCTCCCTAAAAAAGCCAAGCAGATCTACCAAGAAACTGTCAAACTAGTAAAAGGGTTGGGTAAATGTGTTGAAACAAAAAATAAATAAATAAATAACTCATGTATTTAAAAAAAAGAAGAAGAAGAAGGGGGAGGAAGAGAAGGAGGAAGAACAGAAAGAGAAGGAAGGGGGGAGAACAGAAGAAAGACTCCACTTGCAATAGGCACAAGAGCAATAAGGTGCCAATAAAAAGCCTAACAAAATGTGTCCGAAACCTTTATAGAGAACAATATCAACCATTATTGAAGGTCATACGTAGAGAGAAAGACAATGTTCAATGATTGGAAGATTCCAATGAAGTGGAAGATGTCCCAAATGAATCCAGACATTCTGAGTAATTCCAGTCAAAACTCCAGCCAGCTGTTTTTAATGGAATTTTTGAACTTGATCCTGACGTTCACAGGGGCAAAAGTAGCCAAGAAAAATGTTAATAACTGGACGGAGGAAACGAAGACTCCTGGAAACACAACTGAACAATGAAGTTGTGGCAATTAAATAAGTGTGGTTTTGGTAGACAGAAAGACAAGTAGACCCATGGAACCAGAGAGCACAGAAACACAATAATGCATGTCAAGACACTTGGCATATGATAAAAGTGTTGTTACATATCATTAGGGAAAAGATAGGCAATTTCATAAATGTTGTGGAGACAACTGGCTACTCATATCAGGGGGAGTGGAAATGAATCAAATTGGTTTCCTCTCTCATATACAGAGACCACATTCAGAAAAATTAAAAACCTAAATGTGAAAAGGCAAACTTTAAAACTTAGAGAAAAAAAAAATAGAAAGCGACTTCATGATTTCAAATACGAAGGACTTCTGAAATAAGCCAAAAGGCACAAACCCTAAAGGGAAAGGTGACAAATTTCGCATTAAAAATAAAATATCTGCACCAGAAGGGACTCCATATGCAAAATTTAAAAGCAAGACACAAACTGTCACAGCCAAGAAGAACCGAAGGAGACATGGCTACCAAATGTGATGAGGTAACTAGAGGGGACACTGGGACAGAAAAGGAACACTGGATAAAAATTAAAGGCATCTAATACAGTATGGACGGTAGTTAATAATAGTGTATCAACAGTGGTTCATTAATTGTAACAAATGCACCACAGTATTAATAACAGAAGACGCTAATAACAAGTAACTAGGTATTGGGGTATATGGAAACTTTCTTGCACTAGCTTTGCAATTTTTTGGTAAATCTAAAGCTGTTCTAAAATTAAAAGTTCATTTAAAAAAAAAAAACAAATCACAGACAGAAAATGTTCAAACACATAACTGACCATTACTTTCTATGCATCATTTTAAAGAATCCACGTGCTACAGACTGTCCAAAATGCATGTGTTAAAACCTAACTCCCAAGGTCATGGCATTGGGAGGTGGGGCCTCTGGGAGGAGATCAGGTCCTGAGGGTGGAGCCCTGATGAACGGGATTAGTGCCCTTATAAAACAGGCCACAGAAAGCTCCCTCCTCCATCTCTCCCTGTGAGGACACAGTGAGAAGATGGTCACTATGAACCAGGAAGCAAGTGAGCCCTCACCCGACACCGAATCTGCTCATGCCTTGATCTAGAACTTCCCAGCCTCCAGAACTGGGAGAAATACATTTTCTGTTATTTATAAGCCACCTAATGTGTGGCATTTTGTTCAAGTAGCCCAAACAGACTAAGACATCATGCAAATTAATATGAAAATGATAATCCAATAAGTAAAATCAACAAAGCCCATGAACAGGCAACAGAACTGGAAACCAGGGTAGCCAATAGCCCAGCCCCTCAAACCGAGGCAACTTCCTCAGACCCAGAAGCCACTTCCCACCATCAACAGCTTCACAGAGCTTCAGCGGAGCAGGCCCACTGCAGCTACAGGAAATTCTTACTCATGCCCCACTAAAAGGGGCTTGTAACAGTGTGGGTAACATTTCGGTGGGTGCGATGTATGAAACCACCATCTCTTTTCTAGTTGTGTGTTTGCCTTTCCCCTCTCTGCTCTCCCTGCCCTCTACCGTACACTGCATGCCTCATTTTAGAGTTAAATCTTGCAAATTTCTTTTTCATCCTCAGCTATTCACCTTTGACCTTTAATAAGAACTCGTGAGAGCTTTCCTCCTATTTTTCGCTGGCCAACTGTCTGTCTTGTGTGAAGACTTCTCGCTGCCATTTGAGGTTCCAACCCTGAGTAGCCCACAGCATCCACTTCCCTTTCTGCTGCGAGGAAAGCTCAGGGTTAGGGCATTACTTCCTGGGTCATGAACCATCACACACAAGCAGCAGGCACATCCCCCTGATAATGAGAGGATTAAATCAGATAATCCCCTTTTCATGGTAATGAGCCCCGCCAAGCAGACATTTTTTTCCCCAAACAGAGAGGGTAAGTTAATTAATTAATTAGTTAAAACATGCTCTGGGATGAAAAGCTGTCCTGTTTAATTAATAGTAAGAGGAGCCTGACCTGACATGTTGGCTCAGGGTTTAAACTATGAATGTTTTTTTTCTTTTGCCTTTCTAGCTTTTTCCAGAAACTGGGAGTTCTGAAGCAAAAGCAGTGTGAGAATTCAGAGCCATCTGATCCTGTAAGATGCGGCAGGAGGCTGCAGATGGTGGTTGGGGAGCAGGCCAGAGTTCATCCGTGTATTTCGTTCCTTCGTGGGCCGAAGGGATTGGTCTCACAGCGGGATGAAGGTTAGGTTTTGCTAGGATCGCTTTTATGGACAAAATCCCTGGGTAAACTCTGACGCCCTTTTTACACAAAGGCGTTTGTCCCCATGTGTGATGGTCAATGAAGTAAATAATTTTATCCAAATATTAAATCAGCAAAGTATGGATAAATTCGAACGGGGAATATTGGTAGGAACGGAAAACTGCTCCCCCTCACCCCCCAAGCTAAAAAACATCAATTTGACTCTTCAGAGACTCGGTTTTCAAAGATGAGGTGTTTCCTAGTTCATGAGCAGCAGATGGCAGCAGAACTCAAGAAAAGAAACCAGGTCTGCTTATTTCTTAGATCCGTTTCAAAGGTTCCTCATCTTCCAAGGAGAACAGCACCCTTTTTATTCAACTGTTTGCTTTGTGGGGAGGAAACTATGGGCTTGAAGTGATGGTACTTTTACTATCCGTTGGTGAAAAAACACATATCTGACAAGTTGCAATGAACTCTGTACAACTTTTGAAGGAATTCACATTTCCATAACCACACGGAAACATCCACCTGTACTTGAAACATAGAAACATGGCAGAGCTTCGGCGCGTGCACAGTATTTGCATCCACACCCAGACAATTCTCGGCAATGACTCCTCAGACCCTTGGCAACGACTCCATATGGTCGCTTGGGGTCCTGGGTGCCCAACATGAGACCACCACTCTCATCAAGTCTTGCTTCCTCCTCATGCCCACCCAGCAGCTTGCGGGAAGCTTCAGGAGGCTGAGAAAGAAAGGGTAAAGGAACAGAGTGGTCCAAAAGTTCCCATTTTCTTCATAGCTAAGTCTTAGCACTCCAGAACCAGCCTGTTGTAAATCATGAGGGCTCTGGCATTGCAGTTAAGTTTTTAATGCTGAAAATACCATGAAAAACAAGGCCTCTGTGGGGATGGAGATTTTCCCAAGGAGACGATATCTGCAGTTGTCAAGGGGACGGGATTGGAGTCCCAATGTCTGGGATGGGGGGTGGGGGGGGGGCGGACGTTTCTATTTGCATTAGCTGTGTGACCTGGGCAAGTTGCTCAACCTCTCTAAGCTTCTGATTTCCCAGCTGCAAAGTAGAAAGCACATTTCCTGCCTCCTGGAGTTTTTGTGAGGATTAAATGAGAAAAATCTATGGAAGACACTTACGGTTGCACCGTGACACACAGAGGTGCTCAGTAATGTTGGTTACCGTTGTCATTATTACTGGCCTTATTATCTTTGTCATTATTCATGATTATTACTAACGTCACAGCAGAGTATCACTGAACATTGGGAGCTTCATAAATGAGGTCTCTTTTAGGAAATTCATCTTTGCAGGGAATGACGTCGTATCATGAGTGACATCTAGCCATCCATAAAGTCCCTTAGTGGCAACATTTCTTCCTTGGCAATACCAACACAAGATCTCTTGACGTCTACTGAAGAGCCCTGAGAGTGAGAAATCCTGGGGGAACCCTTGAGAAACCCTGGGTCCGTCACCACTAGCTTGAGAGCTGCCACCGTTGGAGTGGGTACCCTCAGCAGATAACAGTGGCTCTGAAGTGTCCCCACAGAGGGTGTGTGCATGCATGGGCACAGAGATGTTTGTGACTGAGTTTCTGCATTTAAAGAAGTCATCTGAAAATCTGAATTCCATGTCCACTGCTAGTGGGTCCTAACCTTCCTGCCCAAAATCTCATATGTTTAAGAAAAATATTCCCTTTTCTTTTCGTCCTTTCTCATCCTAAACAACAGGGAACGTTTGCTAAGATCCGGCCTATAAGAGCCACATGAACTAGACTGCAGAAGGCATCCTCCTTGCATTTCACCCAGACGTACATGCCTTCCCCTCAGTGGCTGACAGGCGCGGGCAGGGCCACTTCCCTCAGACATGCAGGTGGGCGTCGGTGGGGAAGGTGGGCCGTGCACTGGCCGTGACAGTCCATGGCATGAATTCTTGTGCAGAGGTGGTAAATATGGGGCAGTTTATATCACTGGCACTGATCTATCTGGGCCATGGTATTTTTGGTGCCATCACGCAGCCTGACCCCATGAACTTGTTGAGTACAACTCAAGAAAGGAAATAGCAGAGGTATAATGTGGCCTGGTGTAAACTTAGTCCTGTCCTGACCCATCCAGGGGCCTTCAGAGAGCAGCCTCAAAGAGGCATGCTTAGAGTCTAAGTGGCTTGGACTGTCCATCTCATTTGTCCCAGGAATGGGAGGGAGCATTCCCAAAGAGACAGGTGGGACTTTTCTAATACTCCATTCATTTTTTTCTCCTGACACTTGATGAAGACGGGCCATGCTGATGGACCCTTGGGGGTAAGACTGGGTGAAAGAATAACATACAGCAGTGTCATGTTAGCCCTGGCCTGAAAAAGCTTCCAGAATCAAAGAAAAAGCTCAACAACCAGGCAGGAAGTTGTTGCAGGGATCCCAGCAGTGAGCGCTCTGGCCCCTCCCTCTAGGCCAGTGGTTCTCAACCTGTGGGTCGCGACCCGTTTGGGGGGTCGAACGACCCTTTCACAGGGGTCGCCTAAGACCATCAGAAAACAAAACGATATTTACATTACGATTCATAACAGTAGCAAAATGACAGTTATAGAGTAGCAACGAAAATAATTGTATGGTTGGGGGTCACCACAACATGAGGGAACTGTATTAAGGGGTCGCGGCATTAGGAAGGTTGAGAGCTGCTGCTCTAGGCAGTCAAATTAGAGGATCATAGCTCCTTGGCCTCTCCATGATAGGTGTGAGGTCTCAGGAAAGATGGTTGGATTAACACTCCTCAGTCAAATGTCTCCAACCTCGGATGAACCAGCTACAGCCAGGAGATTAGGGATGACTGGGAGCCAGCACACCACAGGCAGAGCTACATGGGAATTACCGTGTCTCTGGCAGCCATGATAAACTGTGATGCCACAATAGCCCTGGAGCTCATGACCCCGCCATATCGAATTCTTGTATTTCCAATGGCTCTTTCCCAAGAACCGTCCCCATAGATTGTCACCCTGGTCTGCGGAAAGTCCATGGGTCTCTTACTTACTTATCATTCACAAGCTTCCCATGTTGATGAATCTGATTTTCCATGGTGAAGTTGATTGTGGCACCGTACACATGTTCACCGAAAAATACCTTCATTCTGGACTTGTATTCTTCGTCTTGAAAATACCGAATCATATCAGGAAACCAAACCGTCAGTCCATAGTAACTGTAACAGAGAAGACAGGATATTTGAGCAGCTTTATTCTTTCATGATCAGAGTCTGCATTCCTGACATCATGTCGATAAAGCTCATTTTAAATGTATTAATATTGTTGATTAGAAAATCGAATCATGGAACTCATCATATTAACAGATCTAAGAATCACACAGATCACCTCCATAGATGCCAATAGGGCATTTGATGTAAAAAACAACTTTCATTCCTGACAAAAACACCAATAGATTGGGAACTGATGGACATTTCCTTAACATGTAAGAAAATACATATCTCAGATCAAAAGGTAGAATCTGACTTAATGAGGAAACACTTAAAGGCATTCCCACGAATGTCAGAAACACGAAAAGGACAACCATTATCATCATCACTACTGAACACTATATTGTAGGTCTTAGCCAACTCACTTAGACAAAAAAAAAAGTACATAGAAATATAAAACTGCAAAGCAAGAGGTAAAACTATCTTATCTCTATTTGTAGATGATATGATTTTATACCTGGAAAATTCAAGATAACCAACTAAAAAAAATGGTCACTAAACATATAAAAAAGATGCTCAATCCCACTCATAATAAGAAAAATGAAAATTAAAACTACATTGTGTTAACATTCTCGTCTACCAGATTGTCAAAACCCAGAATTGCTGAAATACTCGGGATGAGGCTATAAGTAAACAGGTCCTCTCATACATTTCTGGCAAAAAGGGCAAAATTGTACATTACCATGTGGAGAAAACTGGTCAATGTCTAAATGAATTACTGATGGATTTACCCCCTTTGACTGCATAATCCCAACCCTCGGAATCTATTCCACTGATAAACTTGCACAATACAAAGTAACCTACAAACACGGTTACTTGTTGCGGCATTGTTTGCAAAACCAAAAGTCTTGAGAATTCCCCAACAATCCAGTAATAAATCCCAGTTGAATAAAGTGAGGTACTTCTCTGAGGAATGCTATGCACATGTCAAGAAGAACGAGGAAAATCTCAATTTACTGGTATGAGAGAGCTCCAGAATATATCATTTAGTACAAAAAGCAGATGCGACAATGTGTTCCTCTGATAGATATAGATATATGATATAGATATGATGCATATATCATATCTATAGCATATATATATGTCATATATACTTAATGTATGATACACACACACCCCACAGGTGCCAAAAAACACTTTGGTCACCGTTGCTCAAGCAGTAGTTTCCCGTCATCAGAAGTATCTGGACGCTGATGGATGGGAACCACTTTGAGCACCTCTTGTAATTGCAGAAGTCCAACGTGACTTGTATGCATCTTTTGTTATTCTTATATATTGAGTATTACAATTGTAATACAGTTTTCCTTTCTTAAAATGTCTATACATTTTTTTGGCACTGTGTGTGTGTGTGTGTGTGTGTGTGCGTGCACACTTTTAAATTTGCAAAAAGAAACAATGGAATGATAAGTAGGGAAATAAAAGATAATTATGTATGGGAGGCAGGAGGGGAGAGAAGAGATAGATGCAAGATTTCTCTGTTGTTTCAACATTTGAAATGCAACATTTGAAATGAAAAGTTAAATCAGACATAAGTAAATTTAAGTAAAACATATTTTAAAAACTATCAATGAATTTAATGCTAGTATCTACCATCTTTGACTTCTGGAATGTTCTCTCCTACGTTAGAGGGAACAGGTAGATGGTAGCAGGATCTGGTTTCCTCTCCACTTTTACCTGTTTGGGTCTCCGGGAATAGGTATTGGAAGAAATTAGACCTTTTGTTCTCATAATCAAAGAGGTCATTAGAGCCAATTTCATTTCCTGGGTCAAAGGAGTGTGTCTTTGGGCGTGGGTGGCGGTGAACAAAGCAATATCATAGATGAAAGTTTAAGAGTTCCTAGATGATAATGTATGAAGTACCTATGTGCCAGAAACTATTGCAAGCACTTTATACACATACACACACACACACACACACACACACACACACACACACGCTACACTTAAACAGCCTCCTAATGCTGTAAGTGGGCCCCAACACTTCATAGAAAGAACAGTCATGTTGTTTGGAAATGAATGAAATGATTAGGGTGAGAGCCTGTGTTTGAGAGAAGAACCAGCTTATCACCAATCAGATTATATTTAATTTTCTTTATTACAGGGCACATTATTGCATAGTTTCCCTGTTTTGCCTATTTAATATTCACAGTGACACTGATGGCTACCTACTCAGCACTCACTCCTCTCTTCCTTGGGGATGGAAACTTAATTCTGTACCAACCCCCAGGAAAGCCAATGGTATCGTCAGCTCAGAGGCAAATCCTGATTAGTCTAGAACAGGGGTTCAGCAAACTGCGGCTTGCAAGCCACATGCGGCTCTTTGGGTACGTTCCGTCTCAAAAGTTTGCTGACCCCTGGAAGAGTCAATCCTGTCCCTCACAACAATTTAAAAATTATTCGAGAGCC